CCCGGTGTGCAGCACGGTCCCGGTGCGTGGCACCGTCCCGATGTGCGGCACGGCCCCGGTGTGCAGCACGGTCCTGGTGCGCAGCACGRCCCTGGTGTGCAGCACGGTCCCAGTGCGCGGCACRGTCCGGGTGTGYGGCACGGCCCCGGTGTGTGGCACGGTCCCGGTGTGCAGCACRGTCCCGGTGCRTGGCACCGTCCCGATGTGCAGCACRGTCCCAGTGCACAGCACGGCCCCGGTGCGCGGCACGGCCCCGGTGTGCGGCACAGTCCCGCTGTGCAGCACGGTCCCGGTGCGCGGCACGGCCCTGGTGTGCGGCACAGTCCCGGTGTGCAGCACGGTCCCGGTGCGCAGCACGGCCCCAGTGCGCGGCACAGTCCCGGTGTGCAGCACGGCCCCGGCCCCTGCAGAGCCCGAGGGCCAGCACTGCCGCCCAGGAGCGCGGGGGGCACCCGAGGCCACCAGCCCAACTGGAGGCTCCTGCAGCCGGTCCCCCGCGCCAGCCCTCCCGCCGCCGTGGGCAGCTAGGTTACATCTGTGTCTCTTGTGTTTTGTCTGTGTTTTTCTTTTTAACAAGGTCAAGGTAGGAGGTTGAAGTTTAGTCTCCCGTCCCTGCGGCGACTCACAATCCAGCGGAAATCTCTGCCCACCAGTGAGTTTGATGGAGTAGCCATTGACTATGGAAAGGTAACCGCAGCCTCCGCCCGATCCAAGTCCGCGCCTCAGGCTAGGACCCGGTTCTGTTCCTCAGCTCTCCCCACCCCGTTCCCCCCTGGCTGCTGTGGCTGGTGCCGTGTTGGGCGGTGGCGGCGCCCGCGGCGGGTCAGTGCTGAGCACGAGCCTTGGCAGGGCTGGCAGGGAGCGATGGTGCCCTGCTCGCACGGGACAGAGCTGCGAGGGGCCGGATTGTGCTGCRCCCTGCCCCGGGAGAGGTGTGCGGGAGACACGGAGCAGCCCGCGGGCAYGGCGCCAGAAGGGCTGGCTCCATGTGGCACTGGCCGGGATGCTGCGCGGGTGCAGCGACGCGCTCTCCTGCAGGGGAACGTGCTGCTGGCTGCAGGGACACTAAAGCAGCTCTGGTCCGAGCACGGGGCAGAAGTGGCAATGACTTGCAGGCATGCCTTGAAATGTCGCCTTGCCTCATGTTCTCCTGGCAGTGCATGTCCCATCCCAGGCAGCATCGGCAGCGCTGGCTTCTCAGTCCTTCCRGGGACCTTCCGCGACATGCCAGCTCCCCCGTTACTGCAGCAAAGATTTTGTGTTTGTACTGGAGGGTGATGCTRCCGTTGCCGACTGTGCTGACAAAATACCTGTGACCTTTTGCAACGGAGCTATTGTTCTCATTACCTTCTTGGCTGCCAAAAGTGCTCAAGGTACCTCCAGGCAAAGACATGTTGTGTGCTCAAACATCCTAGGCGGAGGCAGGAGGTTGCTGAGGTATGACCAGGCATTAGGTGGTTGCTGTATTAAGTATATTTGGATAGACTGGATATAGCTGCTTCTTTAAATTGCAGACATGATCCGCTGAAAGGTAGTGTCTTCTCCGAGGTTATACCTACAGGAAGCTGAAGGCACCTGCAGTCTTGTGAGATGTTCAAGGTATATCACCCTCAAGGCTCTAGGTGCTCCCATGTAGAAAGGACATAGGGCACTGCAACATTTCTAGGTATTCATACATGAAAGACATGCACAAAAGACATAGACCGTGCTATTAGATGCTCTGAGGACAACCTGGTGACCCATCACTGGTAGAGTCTGGTCCAAGTGATCTTAGGCCAGTGGAGCACTCACTCAAGATATCTTAAACTAGCAGGACCCTTAGGGGCAGTGAATGGTGCCGCAGCCTTTTGTTGCCTTGGGCATGTGGGCAAAGAAACACAGTCCTTCCTGTGGATATGACTGGAATGGGCTTAAGCACTCCGATTTCTGCCCCGGGAGGGGGTTGCTTTGTGCACCACGTTGCAGGAGACATGAAAGGATGGATAAAATTTAGGTCTGTGGGGAAAGAAAAAAAAAAAAAAAAAGAGAGAGAGAGAGAGAGATTTCACAATGCCCAAGGGTGGTGTAGGAGAGGCAGGACCACATGTGACAGAGTTTGCAAGCCCAGCAGCTGCTCCAGTGCTTCGTGGTGCAGAGCGCGTCATCTCCACTAGACACCAGCACGGGGCCTGGAGCACTGACTCTCCTTGGTGGTCTGAACTCTTGCAGTGAATGAGGACAGGCCCAGTGGTGGGGCTTGGGTACAACCCAGCAAAGAGCATCTCAAGGCATGATCTCCAGGAAAACCTCTCTCTCGTTTCCTCTTTTCTTGCTCTGGCCTGCTTCTCATCTGCTCAGCAATGCCTTGCAAACCGCCCTGCATTCGCTCAGCCTCCAGGGAGCCGGAGGCGGCTGGTGGGACTCTCTCTGCTGCGAGAGAGGTAGAAGTTGCCAAGTCCTCGAGGACTCGGTAGCTGTGCCACAAAGCACCCGCAGTTCTGGCCCACTTTGGAGCTGAACTCATGAACCAGCAGCGCTTCCCAGCCCTCTGCCTTTCCTCTTACCTCTCCCAGCTTGCCCCTCCTCTTCCCCTTCCCCAGCACTCGAGGACCCCCTCTAATGAAACGCTTTCTCCTGGCTGTCTTAAAGCCTGGTGGTGACTCCCTGATTTTGAGGGACTTGAAGACATCGCCCAAGGAGAACTGTATGCAGTCAGAGACCGAATCCCTCCTGGAAAAGGAGAGGAGGCCAAGCCTGGAGGCCGATCCCACCGTACAACACTCATCCCCGAAACAAGCACCTCCCTTGCTGGGCCCATCAGGGTCATATGCTGCTTGGGGTTTGGCTCGGTCTCGCCCTGGGGGCAGCTTCCACAGCCTCCGCAGGGTCTCCTCCTTGGACAACTTTGAGGCTGCGAGGTCTGAGTTCCAGAGAAAATTCAGGGAAAGGAGGGCAAACTCAGGTAGGGAAAACCCCTGGAGTTCTCTGTCCTACTGCGGGAGCGGTGGTCCTGGGCTAGAGCAGCTGGGGCCTCCAAGTGGATGCATCRTGGGGGGAGGTCTCTCACCCTGCACTAACAAAGAGGGGTCTTCTTAAATACACATCGGTTTCGATGTGTTTCCCTGTTAGACAGGGTTCTGCTCTTTAAATAGACCCGTCTGTGTTTGTGTGGGTGAAATGTGAGAGGCATCACGGTCTTGTGTTGGGCTGCCTCGCAGATCTGCCCTGCGAGAGGCACCCTGAGCCCCRTCCTGCCTCCCCTGCGAAGGAGGGTCAGTTGGCAGGTGCAATTCATTAGAGGTGAATAAAGCACCAACTAATCCACCTCTAAGTCTGGAGGAAATGTACCTTCACCGTGGTCGTCCCTTCTGSATCTCTTGTTCTCATGATGTTGACAAACAAGATAGAGGCAAGTCAAGAAAAGCATCATCCATTGGGAAGGATGAAGAGAGATCAGTCTGTGGTGCCTGGCAGGGGGTCATGACTCCTCAAACAGTCAGAGTTTATGGACCCTCAGGAGGAGGGGATGCAGCATGGAGGAAGGAAAAGGATCCAAGGGGAAGGAGAAGGTTGAGCACTGGGAAGGTCAGTGCTAACTGTGCATGTTCAAAGTGTCTTCAGCCACCAAAGTGACATCTCTTGGGCTGATATTAGAATGGAAAGGTTAGAGGGGGTGGAAAATTGAATAAATAACCCCACCCTGCTCATAGGAGATAGACGGGATGGGACACAACGGTTGGAGTGCTCAAGAGCGTTTCTAAATCTCTGGGCCTGGGTATGTGCCCCTTCCATGGCAGCACCTTGCCAAGGGGCAGTCCATGAGCCACTCACCTCTAAGATCCCTTCCCTGGTCCTGCACCTGAGTGTCCTAAGGCAGGAAAACCAGGTGCTTGGTGTGGGCAGGTCCAGCAGGTCACTAGTGTGGACAGCCAGGAACCAGCACCTGGGGCAGCATGACCCTGGCTATATTTCTTCTTTGGGGGAAATCTCTACCCTCCCCTTTGGAGCCCGGGGGTAGAGGATACGTCCATGTGGGAAGACTGCCCAGCTGCTGGATCAGCTCCCTGCACAAGAACCAGGGCAGCAGCTCGAGAGCTGTATTGGCCACGTAAGAGCTTGGAGATACAGAGGAAACCTGCCTCTTCACTCACCTCCTTTCATGCCAATATGTGACTTCCCTTCCCGCTGTGCTTCATTGGGGCTGGTCCCTAAGCCATCACAATCTCAAGAGGCAGCTGAGGTTGTTGGATACTCTCTATTTTGGCAGTTCCCTGAAGGAGATTTGATGGTGAGCAGGTGGGCGAGCTGTTTGACAAGCAGGTCCCTCCCAGGCATCTCAGGCTGGGCATCCCATGTCAGGAGATGCCCTGAAGAAGCTGAGCCTTTATGGCCAGGCAGGCATTGCCTTTCTAGGTGGTATCTGCTGGTAGACCCCACCTCTTGGCTGTCCTGCCCCGGAGGTCAGGGCCGTGCTGCTCTGCTCCTGCCTTCCTGAACGGTCCTCTCCACCCTGCTTTTCTTTCAGAGGCTTCTCACGTCAAACCCAACCCCCCAAACTCCACCTCAGACTCGGATCTCATGAAGTACCGAACCATCAGCCAGATCCCCCAGTTCACACTCAACTTTGTGGAGTTCAACCTGGAGAAGCACCGTTCGGGCTCCACCACGGAGATTGAGATAATCGCACCCCACAAAGTGACAGAGCGCACCCAGAATGTCACGGAGAAGGTCACCCAGGTACGTGGCTGGTGAGACATCTCTGGCAGGTCTGTGGTGCCGGTGCAGCAGCTGGCATGGCTGTGTGGGCACTTTGGTGCCTTCTCAGCAATTCCTGTGGTATATTCGTTGGAGGAGAAGGAAAGGGAGGGGATGGTGACACCTGGCATTTCCACCAGTGGGAAATTCCAGCACCTCTGCAATTTATTTTTTATCTTTTCCTCCACGAACGAAATGGTTGAAATAATAGCTTTTTTCCTCCCCTGGATCAATATTTCTGAGTAATTCGCACACAGAAGAAACCCGTTCTGCTAGAGCAGCCCTCCCGCAGGCTGCATGGCGCTGCGCAGGCGCACGGCGGCCTCCCGCGTCCCTCCTCCGCTCCGCGCTGCCCATCAGGCCACGGCTGTCACGGGAGGGGGACGGGGGCCRCTTGCAGTGTGGTGGCCTTGGCGATGGCTCCACGTCCTGCCCTGCCGCCTGGGATGTGATCTCCAGCACTGGGACCACGCAGAGGGGCCACGCGTTCTCCTGCAAGGTGGCACCGCGCTGCCCGGCGAGGTGACACGCGTGGCACTGCGCAGTGACCAACGCACGTGGCCCCGCACTGTCACCACGGGGACGTGCATAGCAGCAAAATGGCACCAAAGGGGACACATGTGGCACTACGCTGTCTCCAAAGCGCACATGCATGGCAGCATACTGCCACTGTAGGTGACACACGTGCCACAGCACTGTCACCATAGGAAATGGGTCGCAGTAGGAAAGATGCGTGGCATTGCGGTGCCACTGCAGGGGACACTGCACTGACACTACAGGCAGTGCCCGCAGCATTGCACTGTCCTAGGGGACACGTGTGGCATTGCACTGCCCCTCAGGGGACACTGCACTGRCACTACAGGCAGTGCCCACAGCATTGCACTGTCCTAGGGRACAYGKGTGGCATTGCACTGCCCCTGCTATGCCTGGCACTGCACTGTGCCCATGGAGGACACACAGGACACTGCACAAGGAGGAACATGCAACGGCTCTGCAGGGGTCCAGGGCAAGTCTTACTTCAGGGCCCGTCTCCAGGTCCCTTTCCCGCTGTCCCCACGGGGCCAGCTCCCAGGCCCAGCCGGTGCTTCCCTCCCCTCTGCAACGATTGCATTTCAGTCACTTTTTCCTATCCCTCCCCTCTCCCGTCGGCAGCGACGTCGGTGGCTCCCGCTGCCCCACGGGCGCTCTCCTCCCCACCAGGGCCCGAGCATCGATTGCCTTTGATTAGAGCGCGCCGGGCTGCCGAGTGCCCTTTGCGTCCGCATGTCTGCCGCCTGCCCGGGCGAGCGCGCGGCTGCTGCCAGCGAGCGCCCATGTCGCTCCGTGCCGCGGGCCGCGCCGCGCGCCGCGCCGGCCGCAGGCAGGTAGGAGCCGCGACGCGGGGCCAGGGCACGCGGGAGCAGCGCGTGGGACGGGGCTACGGGGCGGCCCCCCCTCGCTGGGGGCCCTCGGGGGGTCCCTTGGGGTGCGGGACGGTGTCAGTGCAGGCAGGTCTGGGCTGTTGCGCTGCAGTCCGTCACCGCGGCCCCGGGGGATTTTGAGCGGCCGGTCGTGACGCGAGCCCCGTGCAAGGATCTCCTCTCCGGGGCTGGCTGGCTGCAAGCTGCGCTTGCCAAAAGCGTGTCCCGCTTGCTGGGGGTTCACCAGGTAACCCGTTCAGCGCCACCAGCGTCCAAGCCAAGGCGGCTGCTGTGCTAGAAACTGCCTCCGGAGCCTTTCCCAATGCTCCCGCAGCCCTCCCGGTCCCCGTCACCTTGCGTTTTGTCCCCATGGTGGCCTTGGTGCCCCAGGAGCTGGCGTTAGTCCCCTTGCCATGGGCATGGGCAGTGCGACCCGTTCTGCCTCCTCTGATGGCTGGGCGAAGCAGAGGGGAGCCAGAGGAGCAGAGGGAGCCCGGCCGGGCCGGGGTGTTTGGGGATCCACCGGGTGCCAGGTGGGCTCCAGACGTCGCCCTGGAGGGTGGACAGGGCCGGGGCACAGGCGGGAGGAAGGACATGCATGTGAGAGGACTTTGTGGCCGTGGGGTCTGCACCTCCTTCTCTGGGGATGTCTCCAGATATTCCAGAAGGAGGATGGGAAATGGAGCGTGTCCCRGGCAGGACTTGCTGCAGGGTGACGGTTTGGAAGGTGACGGTTGACAGAGCAGTGCCAGGGCGACACCAAGGTGGAGGTTTCTGCCGGGCCCGAGGCAGGCACCATGCCAAGTTCCCGTGCTGCTGAGGTGCCAGCTCCCTCAGGGCCAGGTCCCGCAGTGGCCGTCGGATGGATTTCCTGCCCCCCCAGCTGCAGAGCCCCGTGCTGGGGACGCCCAGCGGCTCCCGGTGCCCGTGGGACGGAGCTGAGGCGCAGGGAGGACCACGCGGGGCACGGGGCTCATCCCAGACCAGGGCCCTTTCTCCTGTGCTGACGTGATAGGGTCTGAAGAGCGCAAATTGTGTTAGTGCCCAAGGGTGCCCTGGCCATCAGAGAGAGCCAGCTGTGGCACAGCTGTGCCAGCAACACAGTGGGGTAGCTCGCAATCACCTCGGTACCTCCTGGACTAACACACGTGAAGGAAATGAGGGTGAAAAGGGTGAAGGAAACCCGGCCTGTGCTCTCCACTGCCTTAGCAGCACGAGGGAGCTGCTCACACGTGTCTTGGCCTTGACCGACCTCCCTCCTGGTCTCYGCACCTCTCTTACATCCATCTCCTGGCAGGTGCTGTCCCTGGGGGCGGATGTCCTTCCCGAATACAAGCTGCAGGCCCCGCGCATCCACCGATGGACCATCCTGCACTACAGCCCCTTCAAGGCTGTGTGGGACTGGCTCATCCTCTTGCTGGTCATCTACACGGCTGTGTTCACCCCCTACTCGGCCGCCTTCCTGCTCAACGAGGAGCAGGTGGAGGAGAAGCGCTGGGACTGTGGCTATTCCTGCGACCCGCTCAACATCATCGACCTCATTGTGGACATCATGTTCATCGTGGACATCGTCATCAACTTCCGCACCACCTATGTCAACATCAACGACGAGGTGGTGAGCCACCCGGGCAAGATTGCCATCCACTACTTCAAAGGCTGGTTCCTCATCGATATGGTCGCAGCCATCCCCTTCGACCTGCTCATCTTCCGCTCTGGCTCCGATGAGGTACGGGCTGGGCCGGGAGGGCAGCGTCCRTTAAGGGAGGAGGGGACTCACAGAGGGGCTGGTGGAGATGGGAGAGCCAGAGAGAGTCACGCATGGGCTGATGTCACTGGTGCACGGCTAGATCTGCGGGGAGAGGGACGGTTAGTCAATTGGGACTCTGTCTAAAGGGTGTCTTGCTGTCTACATTGATCCTACTGCAGGTCCTAAGACATAATCCAGCTGTACCGGCTCCCCTCTGGGGAGAGACAGACTGAGGGTTGATCCAGCACAGCAGGCTGGGAGCTCAGATTAGGGACTAGCCCCACGCAGGTGATTTTGGGGGCTGTTTTTGTAGCCAGACTCAAAACCTTGGTGAAACCCTCCAGGACGGCCTGCAAGATGGGGTGACAGGCAGCGGTCTGGAGAGCAATGCTGGCGATGCAAGGACCCATCAGCAACTGGGTTTGCCTTGGCTCCTGTTGGTTGTTCACCTGCAATCCCAAGGCTCATCAGTCCAGATCCCCTCTCCAGTCACTGCAGTAAAACTCACTTTTCTTGAGTGATTCATCCCACCCATTTCAGGTACCACCTTCAGGATAAGGGGACGCAGGCTCTCCAAGTGCATCGGCATCCCTAAAAGGGAACTTGGCCAGGCTGGAGCCTTGTCTGTAGCCAGACATCCTCCCCAGCGTCCCACTCGTTTCTCAGGGTTCTCGCGTCTCCCCTGCAGACCACCACTCTCATCGGCCTCCTGAAGACCGCCCGGCTGCTGCGCCTGGTCCGCGTGGCCCGCAAGCTGGATCGCTATTCCGAGTACGGAGCAGCCGTGCTCTTCCTGCTCATGTGCACCTTCGCCCTCATCGCCCACTGGCTGGCCTGCATCTGGTACGCCATCGGCAACGTGGAGCGGCCCTACATGGAGCACAAGATCGGCTGGTTGGACAACTTGGGCGACCAGATTGGCAAGCGTTACAACGACAGCGACCTCTCCTCTGGGCCGTCCATCAAGGACAAGTACGTCACAGCGCTCTACTTCACCTTCAGCAGCCTCACCAGCGTGGGCTTCGGCAACGTCTCGCCCAACACCAACTCCGAGAAGATCTTCTCCATCTGCGTCATGCTCATCGGCTGTGAGTGCTGGGCCATGTCCCACCGCCTGCATCCCCATCTCCAACCCCGGGGGGCTGGAAGGCTGCAGGAGGCTGGTGACATCAGGGGAGACCCCGTGGGGCTGGAATGAGTGTGGTTTTGGCAGAGGTTTGCCCTCTGCTCGTCCCTTCTCTGCACAGGCAAATTGATGCCAAGATAGATAGAAAATAGGCTTCAGAAGCCGCTGTCTTCCAGATCCGTGGGACAGCTCAAGGTCCAGCAGTCTGGAGGGGCTGGAACTGGTGCGGGGGGTGAGAAATGGAGCGCACTGGGGTAGCTGTGGCCACGCGTGCCCCGCTGAGCGYGGCGCTCTCCTTGCAGCGCTCATGTACGCCAGCATCTTCGGCAACGTCTCGGCCATCATCCAGCGCCTCTACTCGGGCACCGCTCGCTACCACACGCAGATGCTGCGAGTCAAGGAGTTCATCCGCTTCCACCAGATCCCCAACCCGCTGCGCCAGCGCCTCGAGGAGTATTTCCAGCACGCCTGGTCCTACACCAACGGCATCGACATGAACGCGGTGAGTGGAAGGCGGGAATGACCGGGCTCCGGCTCCTCTCCCCTTCCAACCAGCGTGGGGAGGAGGCATGAGAAGACTCGGGTGGCCAAAGGCATGTCTGACGAGGACGTGTCTGAACGAGCCCCAAAGCTCTCTTGGTCTGTCCATCCATGACACACCCCTCTCTCCTTCTCCGCTCTGTCCATACCTCCACTCCAGCCTATCCCTCAATCCATGCTCGCTCCACCAGCGTCCCCGCACTCCGCCTGCCCGCTCCATCCCGCAGCCGGTGGCAGGACGCCTGGGCCCATGCCGGGAAGGCCGGCACGCCACGCGGGAGCTCGGAGCACCGCTCGGCACCGCAGGCTCCGGGGCCGGCGTGTGCTGGCGCCGGCAGAGCCGCGGAGCCCGTATCGACCCAGCGGCCCGTTGCTAAGCAAAGTGCATCACGCCCACGGCGGCAGCGAAAGGAGGGCATTTAAATAAACCTCAATCCATTTTAATTAGAGCCGGGAGAGCTACTGTTTGTCAGGAAAGGGAGGGATCAATGGTGGAGCGGAGCCGGGGCGCCRCACGGCTCGGAGTGCGGCAGCCTGCAGCGGCGCTGCGCTCGCCACGGGCTGAGGAGCAGCGGCAGCCCCGGGCGCATCGCGGGGCAGGACTCGGCCCACCGGGGCCCGCAGGCAACTGGCCACGGGGGCCCGGGCACTGGAGCGGCCTCAGAGCTGAGAGGAACCTCAGGGATGTGCTCCTGCCGCACCGAAACCTGCTGCTCCCTCCGTCCCCGGCACCCCCAGGAGCCAAGCGGCTCCAGGCCGGCTCCAGCTCCCGTCCTCAGCCGCTGCCGCCCCATTAAACCACCAAAGCAACAAGCGGCACTTGGGCTTCAGCTGCTGGGAGAGCTTTGGCTTAAACCTCTCCTGAGCAGTGTCCCTGGCAGAGGAACCCTGGGCTGGACACGGACAGTAGGCCCCAGAACTACCCCGCGGCAGCCTGCAGCTCCTCCTGGCTTGGTGCAGCTCCGGTCCCAACGCGCTGCGATGCTTTGCTAAGCCAGCGGCGCTCGGCACTGGGTATTTAGCCGCTGTAACGCTGCCCCGCGCCGCTCCTTGCCATTGTGTTTCATGAGGATGGCCCCTCGGCTCGTCCATGCACRTTTAGCAGCAGTTAGCAGGCGGCGAGGGCAAAGGGCCACATGCCACCTGTGTGTAGAAGTAGATGGTTTATATGTGGTTATTTCTGCGTATTGCTGGGGAATGCCCTGCTGTGCAGTGCCTCGTGCAACGCGAGGACACGCGATGTCCCCAAGCACCGGGAGGTGTCCCCAGCGCCAAGGCACCCCACAGCCGCATGCCGCGGAGGGTGCCCACGTGCTCCCCGCGCCATGACCGTGTCCCCCGCTCTCCGCAGGTGCTCAAGGGCTTCCCCGACTGCCTGCAGGCCGACATCTGCCTGCACCTCAACCGCACRCTGCTGCAGAACTGCAAGGCTTTCCGGGGCGCCAGCAAGGGCTGCCTGCGCGCCCTCGCCATGAAGTTCAAGACGACGCACGCACCTCCGGGGGACACCCTGGTGCACTAYGGAGACGTCCTCACCACCCTCTACTTCATCTCCCGGGGCTCCATCGAGATCCTCAGGGAAGACATTGTGGTGGCCATTTTAGGTGGAAAGATGCTTCCTTCTGCGATGGGCAAGGGGTGGAGGACGATGGTGACGAGTGAGGGGCTGCAGGAGATGATCCCAGGGCCRATGGCTGGGGACGTCCTGGAGAAGGGAGCATTATTTCTCAGCACTGGGCCGGTCACTGTCACCAGCAGACAGGGGCGACCCCAAGCAGGGCCAGGGATGCTGGGCCGCCCCTTGTYCATGAATCCTGAGCTCCCCTGGGCCAGCATGTGTAGAGCTGGGGGGTGCTGATGTCCCTAACGAACTGTCTCCTTGGCACAGGGAAAAACGACATCTTTGGGGAGCCCATCAGCCTCTACGCCCGCCCGGGGAAGTCCAACGCGGACGTGAGGGCCCTGACGTACTGCGACTTGCACAAGATCCAGCGGGAGGACCTGCTGGAGGTCCTGGACATGTACCCGGCCTTCTCGGACAACTTCTGGAGCAACCTGGAGATCACCTTCAACCTGCGCGATGTGAGTGCCAGGGCTGCCCCGAGGGGCCGGGCGCGCGGGAGGGCCGGCGGTGGACGCCAAGCTGTGCTCCAGCTTCTGGAGGCTCTGGCGGCTGCCGTCAGGCTGCGGAAATGAGAAGTGTTCTCAAGCCTTGTCAGCTCAGACGGCAGCCCGCTCCGAAACCCCCTGTGTAACTAGTGGGGTCTGGGATCGGGGCGCGGCTCGCAGCGCTCTCCCCGTTCTGCTCGACTCCCAAACTTCACCACCCAACGTCCGCCTTTCCTCCCGCTTTATCTTCTTTTGTGCAGAGACACCTAGTGGTGAGACAAGAAAAATCCCCCCGAGTCCCGCGTGGTGTCCCACCCCAGGGTGCCCCTCCCCACGCCCCAGGTGCCCCGAAGCTCCCCAGGGACCCAAAGCAAATCCGTGCCCGAGCCCGGGACCCGCTGCACGGGGCAGCGCTGCAGAGGGGGGCCGGGGAGCAGCAACCAGGGCGCCAGGTGGGCCGGGACACCCCGCAGGGTCCCCGTGTCCCCATAGCCAGCACTGGGGTCCCCGTGTCCCCATAACCAGCACCAGGGTCCTTGTGCCCCCATAACCAGCACTGGAGTCCCCATGTCCCCACAACCAGCACTGGGCTCCCTGTCCCCTCATAACCAGTGCTGGGGTCCCCGTGCCCCCGTAGCCAATGCCAGGTCCCCGTGCCCCCTAACCGGCGTGTCTCGCCCCCCAGGCAGACAGCGTGCCGCGCTCTCCGCTCAGCGAGGACTACGAGTGCACGCACCGGCGGGCCCGGCGGCACCAGCGCCCCGCGTGCCAGCCCGGCGGACACGGTGAGTGCCCCGGGGTGGGCTGGGGGCCGCGCGCCAGCCCCCGCTCGGGCGCTGCCCCGCTGAGCGCGCGGTGCCGCCCCACAGAGGCGGCGGCGGACGCGGAGCGGTGCCCCGCGTACCCGGAGGCGGGCGGCGCGCAGCAGCCCCGCGGCGCGCAGCGCTGGGACGAGCCGCACAGCAGCAGCAGCGGCAGCGGCAGCCCCTGCTCCCGGAGCAGCGGGGAGGACGCCAAGCCCGGCAGCCCCGCGGGACCCTTCCCGGCACCGCGCAAGGCCGATCTCGCCCTGCCCGCGCTCAGCCTCGTCGCCCCCAGCGCCGCGGAGCCCGCCAAGCAGGCAGCTGAAAGCAGCCGGCCCTACGCAGGTACCCGCTCCCACCCTGGGCTGGGGCAGGGATGGGGTGGGCGTCTTGTCCCTTTGAGCTGAGCTCTGAGGAGAGCCACGCTTGTGGCCAAAGGTTCTCGCCGCTTTGTGCGTCTCGGCAACGTCTGCTCCATCGCTCCCGTGTCCCGGGGCTGCTCATGGCACCTGGGGATCTCCTGGAGCTGCAGCTGATGGAGCCCATGTRCAGCAGCTGCAGCGGGTGTGCAGCTCCGTGCACACCTTGGGTGGCAGCGGGAGGAATCCTCACCAGCACTGGGGTGACGGCTCGTGGAGCAGGGCTGCAGACGGCACCCGCGTGCCGGCGCGGCACGGCAGGGCTCAGCTCTCTGCTCCTCCCGCAGCCGCGCCGCTGGAYGTGCCCAGCGTGTTCACCTTCTGGGAGGAGCGCGAGGGGAACCCCGGCGTGGAGCCGCTGCCGCGCATCTCCCTGCTGCACGGCACCCAGGACTTCCTGCCGCCCGACGACTACAGACCCGCACAGATCGAGTCCAGGCTGGAGCTTCTGCAGGCCCAGCTCAGCAGGTGGGACGGGGGTGGCACCGGGGGCACGTTCCCCTGTCCCGCTCTGCAGGGGTGGCTGCATCGCGCTCTGCTTGCAGCGGGTGCCACTTCCCGAGCCTGGAGGAGGCTGCCCTCCTTGGAAAGGGGCCCGGGCGCCCTGCAAACAGAGCAGCTGCTGGAGCTGTATGGACTGCGTGTAGATACCCCAAGGGAGGCAGGGAGGAGGAGGGGGCGGCCTCTTTGCAGTGCTGGCCACCCGTAGGACTGGAGGAAACAGCCACAAATGGAAGCACCAAAAGTCCCTCCGGGACTTAAGGAAACATTCTTGGCAGTGAAGGTACCCGAGCCGTGGCCCAGGCTGCCCTGGGAGGCTGGGGAGGCTCCTGCTCCGGGGATCCTCAAACCYGCCTGGATGCGCCCGGGTGCCCCGTGCTCCGGGTGCCCCTGTGTGTGCAGGGCTGGGCTGGATGAGCACTGAGGTCCCTGCCAACCTCGGCCGTGCTGTGACTCTGTGACTCTGTGACTCTGTGACTCTGTGACCTGCAAGCGAGGCTGTGGCTGCGGCACAGCCCCTCGTTCCCACTGCCCTGGGCGCTGCCGCGGTGCCGCTCCAGTCCCGCTCCGATTGCAGGCGTCAAGCCGCTCTCAGGCCCTGTGCAGGGCTCCCCTTCCTGCTGCAGGGAGCTGCCGGGCTCCTCCTGTTTGAGCAGGGGAGGTTTGTGCGGGCCGGCGCCTTCCGAACTGGGAAAGGGACACGGAGCGGGCGGGAAGGAGGGCGGCGGGGCAGGTTTAGTGCTCCAGGGCTCCCGCGCTGCGGGCTGTCCGCCCTCGCCCTGCGGCTCCAGGGCTCTGCCCCTCGCCCCGCTGCAGTGCGAGCAGCGCAGCCCGCGCGCTCACGCAGCCGCTCCGTCCCCAGGCTGGAGTCCAGGATGGCGGCAGACATGAACATCATTGTGCAGCTCCTGCAGCGCCAGCTGTCCCAAGTGCCGCCCGCCTACAGCCCCATCTCGCCGTCCTGCCACAGCCTGGCCATGCTGGGCGTGCTGCCGCGGGGCCTGGAGCCGCTGGCGCCCTGCACGGCGCTGCAGCGCCAGGAGCAGGCGGCCCCGACGCAGGTAAGGGGGCCCCGGGCACCCYGGACACCCTGGGCACCCCAGGCACCCCAGGCACCCCGGCCCCCTTCCAGAGCACACGTCCATGCAGGAGCCCCGTTTGCTTCCTGCCTTCCCACACGCAAAGCGCGGCCGAGCTCAGCCCAAGGGTCCTGGGATTCCTCTTGGGGAGGGCAATGGGGTCCTCTCCTCAGGAGAAAAGGCAAAGGGACATGTGGGGAGGTTGGTGCCCGATGGCGTTAGAGGGATTGTGGCTCCATCATGTTGCTTTTGCCATCACCGACGCRGTTCCTCCTGTCCCCGCAGAGCCCCAGCTACACAGAGGTGGAGAAGTTCCACTTGAAATCCAGGGACTCCTTGTCAAGCGGAATCCACCTGACCGTAGCGTCCGACGAAACCATGACCATCTCCTCGGAGCAGGAGCACCATTCCCCAACGACCCCGAACGCCGAGCCCCCGCACCAACGGGCACCAGCCCCCCAGGGACTCTGCCAGGCCTCCCGCTTCCCGTCCCTCCCCGAGCACTTGGAGGCGCCTTCGGAGCCGCGGGACATTCAGAGACACCGCTCGGACCCGGTGCTCCCCGCGAGTTAGAGCGCGGCGGCCGCAGAGCGGGTCCGGAGGAACCGCGGCCGCCAGCTGCTCGGGTCGCGGCTGCCTGGGACTGCAGGGTAAGACGGGGGGCTCGGCCGCGGGCTCGGGGTGCAGCGCCCAGCTGTCTCGGGCCGCCGCCAAGGGCGCGCAGAGCGGCCGCCTCCCGAGCGCCGCCGTTCCCAGCGGTTCTGTAGAGTAGCTTTCCTTTGCACGTCCCGGCGAGCGCAGAGCCGCCGCCGCCGCCTCCCCGCGGGGCGCCGCTCACTCCCCGGTCAGTGGTTTGCACGGATTGCGGAGCGCGGCGGCACCGGGAGGCGCCACCTCGGCCGTATAAAGAGGAGAAAAAGGAG